GTGTAAATGCCGAAAAATGAAGGCGCGTACTCATAGATGCCTCTTGTTTATTCGACGGCAGCATGATTGGGTAGATTACTCGGGATACGTAATTTAGCTACAATTGCCACTACTTATCACCAAAGTTAGTTGATTACAATTAAATTACTAGCGCGCAGAAGGTCATTAATTACAATTGCGATATTATTTCAGAAAGCTACGCAGCAGCTTTCTGAACCATAGCTCGTCGACCGGACCTATGTGAGTGATTTTAATTATGCTGATGTGCTATTACTTGCCCGCACCGAAATATACTTGTCTATAGATGACTTGCATGGTGCACCTCACGCCACAAGTCATGAGATCATTAAAATGGGGACAGCCGCAAATGCAAACCTGTCAACATGCGTCAAAGGAAATGTGCAACGATTTTAACGTTGAAAGAATTAGCATCTTCTACTTTTCATGTTGCTTATCTTGTCACAAAGGACAGAAAACACGCCTCCTTTCTTCGAAATCTTGCGATTCCGCCGCGTAATCGCGAGGTAAAAATTAGAATATTTTCCGACCCGCAGCCGCGAGCGGCGGCCATGAGAACCACGCGGCATGACGTCAATGGGAGTCTTGTAGAAACATAGCAATTCGGGCGAATACCTGCTCGATAAAAGGTAAGTTTTTTTTTATAAATCTTGTCGTTCCAACATAAATATAAATGCGTCAAAAACCTGGTATCATTGACAAAACTTTTATCATACGGAGTTTTAGTGGCGCAATGTTGATCGGGCTGCGCAAGCACGTGGTCACGTGGTCGCGAGTGCATGAGTTCTCGCTGCTCACTGATGGCTCTAGAGAGATAGCTTCACCAGGACCCCGCGCGACCCCCATTTACATCACAGCGCACGTGACTCGGAAGATCGTGAGGGAGATCAGAGGTGCCAAAAACCCCAATCTTTGTCCATTTTTAAAATAAGAACTAGGACATGAAGGCAAAAGTGTTTTTTTGTTTTGCTATTTACTTTAAAAAAGTCGAGACAGCAACTCCTAAATTATGTAAGCAAAGCACTGAAATCATTGCACAGCTCCTTTAAGGAACAAACATTGCCCGAGGTTCACAATAAAAAAAGACGTCCTTCCACACACACAAACCAAACAAATGTGCCGTGACTCCCATACCCGGACCACGGTGAAAGACGAGAGAGGTGTCTGAACGGCTCCGCCCCGATCGCCTCGAAACATGCGTGTCGAAGGCTGGCTCTCCTTTGTGGAGAACCGTGAGATGAGCACAATATGACAAGGGGCTCGAGGAAGCGTCCTTTGTCGCGGTCACATCATCAAAGGTCGCGCGACGCGCGGCCGCACCTGCGCGAAGGCCGCCAAACCAACAGAGCGCCCCTATCGAAAGACGCGCGAAGCCCGAACGGAATTTTGCCGCCTTGTCTGGCCTCGGTCTTCTTCAACCGTGACCCCGAAAGGCAGCAACAAGGTCTACAGGGGAAAAATGTAGTCAAGTAAATCGGCTCGAGCAGCCCAGCGCACATATTACCGGAAGGCCAGAATTTCTATATCGCACTTTTGTACACGTTACTCGAAGAAAGTAATCAATTACAATAACCATTGCTCTCACTCAAAAAGTATTCACTTAGATTACTAGGTTACTCGTGACAGAAAGCAATGCAGAGAGCAAGTCGTCTGCTTCTTGTGCAGGAGTTGCAGTGACGTCACAATGACGCCGAGCTCTGATTGGTTTCGATTGAAAGGATAGCAGGTATTCCTCGATGCTATATAGATGCCGTGAGGTCTACCCACTATATGTTTTTTCTTTCTATCAGCCAATAAGAATTCGGCGTTCTTACATCGTCGCAGTTCCTGTGAAAAAAGCAGACGAACTTGTGCTTCGCATTGGGCGTTACTCGAAAATGCAAGAATTACCATTCTGATTACTTGAGATTTTCAAAATACAGTTTTCCGCCCAGAAATGTAATAAACTTATCAGCAATTTTAATACATACTTACGATCTATTGTTATCACTTACAACGTAAGTGATAACAATTAAAGAATAATAAAATTATTCTTTAAGTAATATGATTACTTACGAAGGTAACCGGATTACCCTCGCGATTACATCCTAATAAACGCGGTCGAACGATTACAAAATTACTCCAAAAAGTAATAGATTGCGAGTAATTTGAGTACTTGTGATGAGTACCGTACAAGACTGCGGACAGCTTAAGGAAGGCGGGGTGTGGCGAGAATCTCACTGTCATCTCATCATCGTTCGACAGTCAATGGGATTGAGGCATTAGAAAACAAGGACGCCGAAAGACCAATCAGAAAAAGAGTTTATGTTTTTTTTTTGTTTTTTTTTTTCAATTAATGTTAATATTTATATTTGCACGTTTTAACATAAAGTACCTCTATAAACAAAAAGGAAGGTCCTTTACGCAACGTGACTGATTCCCGCCTCTTAAGGGTGAATCAAAATAATTGCTCGCGTACTTAGGATCAGATATTTTCGTTAGTTCATCAAACACAAAACTTACGCAAAGCGTCGTATTTTTTTTTTTTTCTCGACGGCAATATCTTGTTAGACTCGCTTGACGCAGCTCTTAAAATACGAACCTGGGCGATACTGTTTTTTTTGTGTGTTAAAGCGATCAACTAAAAGATAACGACCACTGTTACCAGACGCGCGTTCGAAAGTGCCTCGTTCACAAGTAGCTTTTTTTTTTCTTTTTTTTAATAAGGCAGCCCTACTTGGCCGACCGTATATTGCGCGATCGACGGCGTGGATAAATATAGAGGAGGAACCTATGAAGGACTGAAAGAATCAGGCAGAATCTAAAATGGCCGCTAAAAATCGGCGCCTGCATGTTGCAACCAAAACTTTTCGTCAAACGTGTATGTCACTATAGCTCACACAAAAAGAATTTAAAAAAAAAAACTGAAATGAACGAGGAACAGGCACTCACAGCTCTTTCACAATTTGTTCCGAATTCACAGGTCGGTTTTATGCTGTAAAATTGCAAAGCGTAGCTCCTTTTTTTGTTAAAAATGGGGACCAAAAGGACTTGCCTGGGTCACCGGCGGACGGCGACGGAGACAACCGAGTCGAGTGGCGGGGCGCGTTTGACGCACGCATTGATAGGCGGCGCTGCCTTCTTATGAGACTACTCGCGACGACCGCGGTCTATTAAAATGAGCACACTCTTGTATTTCTTGTACCTTTAATTTAAAAATAAATGCGAACAACAAAAACAAAATTTTAAGTAAAAAAAAAAAAATTAGTAAAAAAACGCGGTCGCGAAATGGCGGCGCTCTTGCTGCCGACAGATTTCGTCTGCGTGTCGTCTGCTTTCTTTCGCTGGTCGGCTCCACCTTCTGACGTTACTCCCGACGCCACCTATCAACAGGTGCGCCAAACGCGCCGCCCCGCCACTCGACTCGGTCGTCTGCGTCGCCATCCGCCATTGACCCTGGCAATTTTTTTGGCCTTATTTTCTAGAAAACTCCAGCTACGCGTTTTAAGTTTACAGGATGAAAACGACTTGTGAAATACGCATTAGTCGAAAATTTTAAATTGTTACGTGCAAGCGCCGATTTTTACGGTTCATTTTAGATCGAGCCTGGTTACTTCAGACACCCTAATTACTTGAGTGTACTAGAATTAAGTTATCCGTGTTTCAGATGTGAGGAGTTTTACAGCACGAATTTATACGAATTTATGATGCGTTCGAAAACGCCACGGCTTCCGCCGCCCCCTCATTTGGAGAACCGGGCAATAAGCGTATGATTTTTTTATACCTGAGGCGACTCCAACTGAAAAGGACTAAAACAGTAATTACAAAAGAAAAACCAAAAGAAAAACAAGAGATGTTCACCTAGGTTATTGTCTTGGTTGGCTACTCTGCTCGTTGTAGTCCAAGGAAAGCCCCTCACAACTCTTTCAACTAAGCGAACGCTCGAAAGAAAGTCGCCTCTTTTCCAACCTACGATCGGCCAAAGTAGAAAGAGGTGGACTAAACTTTCCCTGAACTCTTAAAGGTGTCACCTGATTAGGTTTCTGAGATATCCTTAATATACTCAATCTGCGGGCTCTACGCATCCTAGAAATCCATAAATAATAAGGATGCGCGGCCGATATCTCTATTAAAACAGCTATCAAAGATCGAACCCACCGAGGTCATCTCCTGTGTTGGGAGGAGCATTGTTCCGGCAGCCAGGACGACACGTGACAAATGAAAACGGGGCATTCCGTTGAGATTGCAAACGCTGTTATTACAAATTGTGTACGCTTTCGTTGATGAAAAAAAGCAAATAACAGTAGCTCAGAAATCTCTTCTTTTTTTTTTGCGGAGAGGGAACTTATAATACTGCAATAGTCGTGTCAAAAACAGCGCACAATGGTTTTTGCTGATTTCTTTTACCAGCAGGAGTGATGTGTCCGGTTGTCAGCTCTCGAGTGCGCGCTCGCTGGGTTTAAGCGTAGTCCGGGCTGTATGAGCAACGAGCCGCGTGCCTTCGAAATGCCACTCGGCGGTTCCACCGGTCGGAGGAGCGAAGATACTTCGTTCGCTATTGGCTGACAGGGGTCCTGGTTTTGGAACATGCTCCTTGCATCGCCGGAGATGAACTCGGTGTGTTGCGCTTTTTGATTGCTTTTTTTATTATGGAAATGGGCCACGTATCGTCGTGATTCAAGGATCTCTAGGATACTTAGAGCCAGCACAGTTAGTTATCGCCATAGTAAGGCGATCTCATAAACTTCCTCAGGGTACCTTTAACCTATTGCTGACTATGAGAACTGACGGATTATGAAAGAGCATGTTTGTGAAATTACTATCTTGTGGTATATTGCTAGGGTTTCCAAGAAACATACGTTGTCGCTATGTGACCCAAACGAGCATTTGAGTGTTCCGTAGTGCTAGTGCGACTAGGGCACAAGTTGTACAATGTTCACGAATGAATGCTGCACATTTTTTTAAAAAATGTTTAGTCTTATTATTTCTTTTTCTTCTTTTAGTATCCAGGGTGAAAACATCGGAATCCCTGGCCCCATGCTGTTCCACTTGCATTACTTGAAGCCCTACAGGCGTCACCGACGGGTGGTGACGAGGACATTGTTGCTGCTCGCAGCTTTCATCCTGTTGTTTTATTTGAGCTTATCAGGTGTCCTCGAACGTCTGCGAGAGACGCCATACTCTGACTACTCTTATCCTCCAGAAATCGATCTCAAATACCTGCTGCGGTCGCTCAAGACGGGCAGAGAACCCGCGGCCTACAGAGTTCAGAATCACTACGAGCGGTACGTCTTCAAGATCAGCAACGAACTCAAGTGTCACGTTTCACAAAACCGGACGTCCATACTGATCGTCGTCAAGTCTGCCGTAGCCCACCAGTCACTTCGAGACTCGATCCGCCAGACCTGGGGACAAGAGTACCGCTTCAAGGACGTAGACCTCCGACGTGTGTTTATGGTTGGTGTGAATGCCAACGATGAAACCGCACAGAGCGCCTTGGACGACGAGCATGCCCACCACGGTGACCTCGTACAGGCGGACTTCGTCGACACCTACTACAACAACACCATCAAGATGATGCTCTCCTTCCGCTGGGTCCTGGAGCACTGCACTGACGTCCAGTGGATATTTTTCGCTGACGATGACTATTATGTGTCCGCAAAGAACCTCGTCCAATTCCTCCAAGACTCAATGAACCCGAGAGATCGGCACTTGGTGGGCTACGTCTACGACGAAGCGGCGCCGTACAGGGCCTACTTGAACAAGTGGTACGTGTCCTTGTCCGAATACCCCTTCAACCGGTACCCTCCGTTTCCGGTAGGTGGTTCGATCGTGATGTCGATGCCTGCGCTTACCGAGCTCTACCATATGGCCCGGTACACGCGACATTTTCGTCTAGACGACGTCTTTCTGGGCATCGTTGCAAGAAAGGTTGGACTGCGGCCAATGCACAGTGACAAGTTTCGTGACAAGAACCAGCCCAAGTTGCCCGAAGACTTTGTCGGCATTGTGGCTGCTCATGGAGTTTATGACAAATACCACATGGTTCAAATCTGGGAACAACAGAAACGCTTAGGACACGCGTGATGCTGCTCTCACCCCTGTGCAGAAGTATAAAACGAAGATTAGCTATCCTTTGTTTTAGCTTAAAGGGGTCATGAAATGAACTTTGGGCTGGGATAAATAAATTTAGATTGGATTTTTATTAATAGCACATCCTTTAGTGGGCCAAAAGAAAGAAGGTGAAAAGTCAAGAGCCTGATTTTTGGTGCGAAAATTTGAAAATACAGCGGACTATTTCGTACCTCCTTCCCTTCGAAAGCTTTCTGCCTTTTCAGTGTGATATATCCGCGGTACCCAAAGCACGTCACCCGGCACAAACGCACGTCACACCACACCGGACCTCACTTACTCCCTTTACCCCTAAGCTGGCATTGTGGTGGAAGCTACGCGCTTGCCAGACCAATCAGCCGCCTCCCTTTCAGTACCTGCCCTCATTCTCTGCGCGTGAGCAGGGTTGGACTGTATCGCGATAGAAATGCATCCGCGATAGTGTTTCAGAAGTACATTTCGGATCTGTATTTCTGTATCGCTATACATTTTTGCTAACGAGCCGAGAGATATCCCATGGCATAAGGAACCGCTTCGTGGTTTTCATGACATTACACAACACTACAGATTACAGCGCCAGATATACCCACCACCACATAAGTCACTCAACAGACGCCAACAAGTATTATGGCGACAACTTCAGAAGAATACTCTTCCTAACCCTGCGACACTCAGACACTACCTCCCGGATCTATACAAGGCCCGATGCACCAAGTGCTATGATCCAACAAAGGACGCCGACGAATACAACAAGGCCACGATCGAACATATATTCTGGTCCTGCCCGGCCGATCCCCCACCGTCTTCCCTCACACGACATTTGACACAACCAGACACTCAGTGGACGACCCTGCTGCTCAGCTCCGACTGCGTTATTCAACTCGCTGCGGTCACAAGAGCCGAGCAAGTCGCCGCCCGGCCCAGTCCGTCCGGCCACTCTGCAGGGGAGGCACCACGCCGGCCGTAGGAGAAGGAACCCACGTTCTGGATCTTATGAAGCTTTTATAAAGTTTATTCTCTCTCTCTCCACCAGTATCTGTATTTTTGTATTGAAATACATTGGGAATATTTTTTTGTATCGCGATGCAATCAGGATATGAAATGTATTTCGTCACATTTCTTTAGAAATACTCCCCCCCCCTCCGAAAAAAAAGAAAAAAAAGAATGTCCAAATGCTTTTTTTTTTTCTTCTGAGGGCAGCAGGGTCACAGAGATTCTGGAGCATTGTTACTATGCTGACCAAGGTTCCTTCCTATTCTCCAAACTGTGTTTCTATGAGTCCTCTTTTCCCTTCTGAGAAGTATTGCGTAGTCGGGGATTCGAACCAGGTGGCATGCCAGGAGTGCAGCCGGAGCATCTTTTTCCGCGGGTCCTTAGGTGGGGATTTCTTGAGTCATTGTTTGCTGGTATCCAATGCCCACTGCTAACCGTCTCTCTTGCCTTAGCGTACACAGTATACCCAGCCGTCAAAGCTAAGTCACAGTCCGTTGCAGCACGAGCATGGTGGTGGTTGACTTGAAATAGTAGCATGACTCAGGCAGTGAAGTTCAACACATATTCGAATGCGTCTGCGCTTGCGCCCGTATTATTGCAAGGCTCAAGGGTACGTGATCAGCCGACGTGAACGTGACCCGCTGCTCTAGTGATCCGAAACCAAGGAAGGAGGCCAGACATGGCCTCGCTGTGCCGACCCAGACTTTGTACATCTACGACTCGTATCGAGCGCGCTGCTTCTCGGAGAACTTGCACCTTTACCGGCAATATCAGGTCGCAATCCACGAGGTCTCTGTTTGGATGATGCTAGCTAGGCGAAACTTGAGGACTGCAATAGACCTGTTGCAAAACGTACAGCGCCATGACGGCAGGAAATTTTGGGTAACCTCGGTACAGATCACCCGCTTTCTCGTTGCGCCTCCGCGACTGCGCGCTCGTCCCGGCAGCAACCGCCAGCAGCCGTTGCAACCATCCGCCATCCCGCCCATCCGCTGAGTCGTACGTCATTGGCGGCGTACCGTATCTGTGGCAGTGTAAAGGCATCGCGACAGCTGTACTTATTTGAATACCTTATTTATCGTAACTTACCTTCACGTATTGAATTTTCACCGAATCCATTTAGTTTGCACCGCAACCGTGGCAGGTTTCGACCAGGCTCGACAAAGCGTTGGAGCAGCAGACGACAGAGCCTGTACAAAGGAGGGGGATTGAGAAGGGGAAGCCGTTGGCTCGTCCCTCGCCCGACTCGGCTGCTCAAAAGTTGTTGCCGTGGTAACCTGCGCCTGCCCGCGTATGCTACCTGGTAGCGGAAGGAGGGGCGTACCAAGGACTCCAATTTTTCGTCGCGCAGCGCGCGCGGGCTTTTGGGATTCCGCAAAGGGATTTTGGGATTTTCGCAATTTTCGTAATTCATGCGTCGGTGGCGGCGTGTCGGCAGGAAGGACCTTCATAACAGGAATGCCACCGTATTGTTTTTTCAACCGCAACAAAAGATCAGATATGTGTTTCAGGGTGCTTCAGGTGGTCCACTATTCTCAAAAATTCCAAATGACACTGTCTGCACCATCTTCAACGAAGTAACCTACTACGAAAATACGTATTGTCCTTTCATACAACAGCGTGGTAGAGTTTCATGTTCAAGGCCCACAGCTATAAATACAGAATACCAGTTCATTCCACCGAGACGTGTTATGATCATGTTGACAGGGGCGTCCTTATTGGACAGGGGCGTGGTGACGTTTTGATGGGATTTAGGGTGACAGCATTTATTTAAAGGTGAAAGTCTTTCGCATTTCTCGTCAGAGAGACAGGATGTCAGGGAAAGGACCACGGTCAGTCCTTGATGGAACAGTGTTTTGAGCCCACTGAAGACTCCTCGTCGTCCGAAACCACTACCTTCAAGCCAAAGTGCCAAGCCTACGGGAAAGTAATTTCGGGATCAAGAACTGCCACTTCAAACTTCAAGCTTCATCTCAGTTGGCGTCTCAAACAAATTTGAAAATTGTATTGCAGTATCAGTATTTATGTATTTGTATTTCTGCCCTTTCTAAAATCTGCTCCTGTATTTGTATTTCCGAAGACTTTTTGCCTCTATTTAAAATGTGTTGTCAATACATATCGCGATACATTTTTAGAGGTATACTTTAGTATCAGTATTTTAGCTACTATATTAATGTATCACAGTATTTGTATTTCCACATACAGTTTTGAGTATTCCTGCCCAACCCTGCGCGTGGGTATGCGCGAGTGAGCGTGATCACGCGGCAAAAGTGTGGTTGGACCAACGAGCACGTTCATTCCACAGCACTGTCAGCTTAGGGGTAAACGGGCTGGGGAAAGCAACTTTTGTCCGAGTTTTGAGCGACGGGCTAATTAATCTTCTAGGGGGAGAATGGCGGTGTCCCGGGTACATAAACGAGGGTCGGAGCAAGAGGGGAGTCCCTCCTTTCCGTCTTGCTGAACTATTGGCTTCAATGCGTGATTTGTGAGTTGAGGAGGAAAGCTAACAATGAAAAATTTGAAAAATCGTTTCATGACCCTTTTAAAGGGGCCATAAAACGATATCGGCTAGGAATGTTCATGACTTTGCAAAGGCGTGCTGGTCGTAGTCTGGCCCAAGTATACTCGCACAGGCTGCCACTGATTCAGAAGCTTCTGTGTCGCGGTGAAATTGCGAGGATAAAAGGGTACTATTTCTTTTAGTCTATCCTTTACGATGCTTGATGACTTAGTCATGGGATCGAAACCACCCACCTGAGAACTGTCGAGCGTGGCTCGTGGGTTGGACACGAGAACTGCGTAAGAACTCGACTTCGGCTCGGAACAATCAATGCCTCGGTGGACACTCGTGTAGTGACTCGTGTCCAACCACTGCGGTAATGAGAATAGTCGAACTCTAACAATGCCTGGAGTTCAGCACGCACGCGTTTTCTAGTTTGCCAACCCTAGCGCCGGGCTATGATTAACGTTGGCGGCATGGGATAGTCACCATGACACCAGACCGCTTGTTCTGTCTCCAGGTTTATGGGACAAATAATGCCCATATTTCTTTTCTTTTTTCTTTTTTTTTTTGGGGGGGGGGATTGTTATTGTTTGAAAAGAAAAAATTAGGCAAGTTTATTCAGTTATTAACGTAAAGCACTGATTTTAAGTAGTATTTAATGAAAACAAAAAAAAATCATTTTGTGGCTCCACACGTCGCTGACGACACAAGCGCAAGCTCCGGGCTTTGAGCGTCCCTGCCAAGCACGCGCGCTCGTGCAGTGCCAGCACAACTCAGGGCCACATGCTCGCGCTTGCAGCATCGCCTCCGTAAGGACTTACGTTGAAACGAAGTATAGCATTTCTTATTTTTCTGTCGATTAATTGTATATAATGGCAGAAGTGAAAGCTCCGACAAAAAAAAATTAGCTCGTGCCACCTTCGCCTGTGTAATTTCTGCTGCACATAACAAATATGTTTAGCATTTCAAGCATTCCACTTCCGGGCCGGATAACGAACGGCCGTACGATGGATCGCTCTGCAGCCATTGCGATAGCGGGAGTACCTAGCTGTTCGCTGCGCGTGTGCCGAGCCGCTATTTCGCACCGGCACTGCCCATGCGCTTTCGAGCGCCGAAGCAATGAAGTGCGACCTCGCACTGCACGTCTACATCCGGGTACGGCCATACCTTCGTTGGTCCTGTGAGTTACCCGCAACGACGGTAACTTGTGCTGAGTTACCCTCGCTCAGGCTTGTGCCCGTTACTTGAAAAGGATGTAATGGATTGCAATTACAAATTACCGAGCCTCAAATGTAATTGATTACCGCTACAAATTACTTTCTTTGAAAAGTAACGGATTACTGTGCTCGTAACGTTACCAATTAATTTCACGGTACTTTTCCCGCACTTATAGAAAAAAACAATTGAAACAAATTCGATGTTTTCAAAAATGTTGTGCAGCCCTACTTTCCATTCCTTGTACGCTCGCATTTCGGTAATCCTTGTAAAAATAAAAGATCGTACTTTATAGAAAGGACTTCGGTGCAC